GGCGTAGTGTCCGCCTTGAGTGCTAGAGGTTCAGGGTTCAATCCCCGGTAAAGGCCGGGATTTTTTCACATGGACTTGGTCTTCAAGTAATTCCTCTGGTCTCTAGCTAGTGAAAAGAAATCCCTCGGCAGTTGAAGTCGAAAAGAGTAGCCTAACCGCGCTGACAATTTTGAGTTAAAAATCTACCTGAAGTATTTCACAATCCTCGCCGGTGCTACAGAGTCTGTGCACTGTGCTGAGCTTATCAGACTCAGACTTGAGTAAGAAGAAGAACGGAACACTTACGGGTTACACACGAGTGTTATGATGTTGATCTGTTGTTCACAACTGTCTGTCTCTCTGACCGTATGTCTGCATGCATGCATGGATGCATGGGTGGATGGGTGGAAGGGTGTGTGTGTGTGTGTGGGTGTGGGTGTGTGTGTGTGTGTGTGTGTGTGTGTGTGTGTGTGGGTGGGTGGGTCGGTCGGTCGGTCGGTGGGTGGGTGGGTGTGTGTGTGTGTGTGTATGTATGTATGTATGTATGTGTCTAACTATATAGCTGTCTTAATTTATGTTTGTCTTTTAATGAGCCATTTCATCTGTCAATTTGCCACCCTATTTGTCTGTTCGCTGTCCATCCCTCTATCTTTTCGCCAGTCTGCTTAATCTGTCTGTCCACATACTGACTACATACACATCTTTTCATAAGTTTTATCTATTGGTTCATCCACCCGTTCGTGTCTTTTCTTTCCAGTCTGTATGCCTTTTTTTTTTGGTCCCTCTGTCTGCCTAGTTTTCTAAACATATCCGATTGTGCTAACTACTTGTCTATACACACACATATATATGTACATACATACGTGTATGCTACCAGAAGGGCCTCTTAAGCCGGAAAGGTCAAAGGTAGAGAACAGACAAAGAGAGACACCGTGGTCCTCCAGGCTGGGGGTTGAAGCGTGGAGCCGACACCCCCACCTTCGTAAAACTTTATCTCTTAACGAAACAGATATCTAAGCCTCGATTTCGGATATATTTAAACGGACAACGAACCTGGAACGTTAAAGGACTTTTGAGATTCACCAAGAAGACGATGGAGAGATAATATCCCGGCAGACCTGCAAACACTCGGTGTTACCAACTGGAAAGAGAAGGATAACCAGAGAGATGAATGGAGGCGGGTGATATATCTGCAGCATTGAATCTCAAGGGATCGGAATGCGGAAGAAGAAGAGAAGACGAATATGTGTATGTCAGTGTGTATATTTATCCTTGCATGTGTCTCCGTGTCTGCCTATCGAACACCTACTCTAATATACCCCTAGACCATCCTAATGACATCTCTGAACATAAAAAGACATCATATGACATGAATAATATCGGTTTTTATGTTACACGCACATGGGACACATATGCAGACACAACGCGCATTTACACACACACACAGACACATACGCATGAGCGCGCCCAGAAATTCAAATTCACAGTATCGTATAAGGTACTTAATATAGTTCACTTCATGCTTTATTTTACACTGCGAACTGAGGCGCAGATGTATGAAGTCACTGAAATATAACTGATGTATTATTGTAATGTAGATAAAGATGGAATTGATAGAGATTTTAAAATACCAATACTATATATATATATATATATATATATATATATATATATATATATATATATATATCTACAGCTGCACCCTTCAGGTCACGAATGCAAATGTTACAGAGTTCCCTGAGGATCGTCGCCAGAGCTACAAAGTTCGTGCTTTGCACGGCGCTCTCAAAAGGCTTCTAGCCGTTCTGAAGAGAGACACCGATCAATTTGAGATAAAACCTGGTGCAACACCCATAAAATGTAAAAGGGACGTAAACATCCCCCCCCCCCCCCATTTTTCATATTTTTACCTCAAGGCATGAATAGTTCAAGGTTTGGAAGAAGGGTAACAGAATACTGCAAGGTAGAGAGGTCTGTGGATGGCCTACAGTCTCCAAACATGATCGGCCTTTTAGACAGTAGAGGTTGCACTGACAAGGACACTGAGACGGGCTAGATAGAATGAAGTGGCAAGCACCATCTCGAGTGCTTTTTCTATCGGTTTCTGCAGTGCCCAAGAACCTTACTGTTAGAATTAAAATTTTTAAACATTTTTCTAACGCATAATCACTGACTTAAAACAGCACACAGTGAATGTTAAGAGGTCTTTATCAGTTGTGTCGGAGCAACGGACAATGTTTATATATATATATATATATATATATATATATATATATATATATATATATATATATATATATATATATATATATATATATATAAATGAAAGACCTCACGAAGTCCGGCCCAGAAAGAGAGTGACTTTCCTTGCTATTGATTCCAGATCGTATCGTAAGGCCTGTCCTATGTTGCTAGGGTGTCACGCTTAGTTAGGGTCCAGCAACACAACGTATTTTACGCGTTGTTGTCATAAGCTGCATGCAATCGTGGGACCTAGGCTGCACTCTCGTGAGATGTAGGCTGAGACTGTGGCGTCGGGGATTTGGGTAAGAGCTAGTTCTACATGTTTTGGGACCGTTAGAAAAAGCGCTCCCACGGTGGAACATAGAACACATGACATCACCGGCTGGTGACAGCAACGCTTAAAATTCGTTGTGTTGCTGGACGGTCACTAAGCAACACCCCCGCAACATAGGACAGTCTCTACGACACTGACTACTAGAGATGAATAGCAAGGGAAGTTACTCTCTTTCTGTGCCCGAGTTTGTGAGGTGTAATATATATATATATATATATATATATATATATATATATATATATATATATATATATATATACTGTTTAGCAATTCAAAGTCACCTATACATAAACATGTATGTAATACTAACGAAATATGTTCCTGTTGTCTTTAGCATCTGAACTCAAAAGTCTGAATCTGAGGCTTTAAATCTCTAGTATTCATATATATATACACGCACACGGACAAACACGTCATAACTCACACATACAGTACCTCAAAACAGACAGACATATACCAATAAAATATTTACACACATACAAAAACGCACAGTCCATACTTATGCAGTAAAGCATGAATAAATTCGCTAGTTTATGCCCATTCATAAGAACATCTAAAAATACAGACATACGTAAAAAAGCGTATACGCACCCGTAGACACAATTAGGCAGACATGAAACATACCAACGAACACGTATAGACAAATACGTGAAAATAAATATTTAAAGACAAAAAAAAAACACATTAAAACAAACTAACAAACAAAATTCACTAATCAACAAGCACAGAAAAACGCTAAATAAAACACTAAAATAAAGTCACAGTAGGTAAACCAGCATGTATAAACACACAAGAACAAACACTTACACATAAACATGCTCACATAACCAAATATAAAGAACACACACAAATGCATGCACACACAAAACAGACGCCAACAAACATACACAGATACACAAATACATGCACACACAAAACGTACGCCAACAAAAACACACATACACGCACAAGCAACAGACACCACATATAGAGCGCACATAAACAGATATTAACAAACAGACAAAAACACACACACAGACACACAACATTTTACAGTTCTACACGAAGGACTGATACAGAAAACGATGCGTTCAAAAATTCTAGACGACCAATCCCGAGAAAGCCACACTAAAATATTCAGCTGAATTATTTAAGTACGGCATTAAGATGCCCGTCAAAAACATGAAAGGTCAGCCGGAAAGTCGATACAAGGAAATTGCACGTAAGATGCTCTAAAGTGAAGCCGGACTTTGAGTACGTTCAAGAACTATTATTAAATTACAACTTCTACACTTTGGATCTAGGGGCAGACAATTTGTTGAATCCAGACTTTGACATGGCCTTGAAAGAAAACCAGTCTATACTGCAGAGGAAGCTGAAAAACTGACGAACAGAGAGGCAATTTTTGAAGAAAGATTTGAAAATTAGTCGTCGACTTTTAACTATATAATTTAAAAATTCAAATAAAATTAGCAGCATCAAAATTTAGATAATGAAAAAAAAAAAAAAAAAAAACTTTTTGAACACATTTAGTAACTGCTCGAAGTTGCGTACATTGAAGGTTAGTTGCGTATCCTTTACAGGACGTTGCAGAACCAACCCCAACAGCCTCTGGCTGTTGTGTGGTTTTACTAGGCAAACTTACGTCTAGTAGTTTGCCATTGCTTTCTGGACGGTTAGCTTTCTTGATACCACTGTCGAAACCAATGCAAGGCGCATGGCCCGCAGCTGGGATCGAACCCGGCATCCCGGCATTACGGAGCGTTCGCATCGACTTAGCCACAGAGCCGACGTACGTTGAAGACTAGAGTTAAATTAAAGGAAAGAGAAGTTTTGACTTATGCAGAGGCGCCAGATCTTAGAGCTGAAACCCTTGACATCCCAACCAAACATCTATAAACCTTCTAAGTATCTGTTAGAACTTTCCATACTCAAATATAATTTGTTTGGCCATTTTATTATTAGTTATTTTTGCGCACTTAAATAAGACTTGCGCCCTTCGAACATTTTCAACCACTGTCATGTTGTGCCGTTAAATATTAAATAGGTCTCGCAGTATATTCTTCCATTATACTTTGTAATCAATTCAATATCTTAGATGAAATCGTTCAGCACCTTTGGTCTCTATCCTGAACGTTCATTTCAGAATTTCTTCTGGGGGTCCTCGCCCCTTAATCTATTTATGTCCAATGTCAGTGTCTCTTTGGTGATTCTCTGCTAATTTCTTCTTAAGATGTTTCAATATAGCGCCATATTCTCTGTTTTATCAACTAGTGGTTCCCCATACATTTCTCTAATTGATCTACTGTTTCTTTAGACAAGAGCACTAACAACTTTGCCACTAAGACTCGTTAGAGGGGATATATAGTAAGGACTTAAAGACATACTGGTAACGTTTTCAATCAATTACAAAGAGAAAAGCACAATTTAAAAAATAAAAAAGGATTTTAAAAAAAAATCTTACCTTATAAGCTGCTAAATGATTGTCCTTGAATTCTGACGGTTTTACCCTCTTGAGAATTTCATCAATTTTTGTCAAGGATTCCTTACTTCTGGTCTTCATCTGAAAAATTATCAGTGGAAAAAATATATAACCTTGATTTTCAGGGCTTACATCTGTTGACATAACTTAACACAATCTCAACGTGGGACGCAATATTTGGTCATTATAAAACGCCACCCCTGTTTTCGTAGAGGGCCTAATATAGCCTAACGGATGAATAGGGTTTCAGTGTCTTGCACCTGGGGGATTCTCATCCGAATGGTGGGATTTTGTGTCACATGGTGTTAACTGTTCATTGTGTGGTCCTGGCGGGGTGAACGCCAGTCTCACTCGCTTACATCTGTAATCATCACGAGAAACTAAAATAAAAGGAAAGAAGTAGGCAGGAAATCAAGTAATAGACACCAACATCCGCTGGTGGATGTCATCAAGGGATGGACGATCAGCAGTCTGAGTGAGTGTACAACCAGGGCAAGCGATGCAATTCCATCTTGATGAAGATTTGAAAGAAAGTCTTTTGTGGCCACAGGCAAGCATCTAGTCAGTTCTGCTTCAATTTCCAGTAAATGCTGTAGTATAGTTTGTGACCATTTTTTTTAGGTCATGTGACCGGGAATGTGGCCAATGCTCAACCCCCAGGAGAAAAGCAAAACGGACAAAAAAATAAGATTTTTTTTGGTACTACACGAATTGGAACTCTGCAAATGATGGGTGCAAAGGGGTGCAGCGAGCGTATGCCAGGGCTGCCGAGGCAGTAATCAAGAATTTGTCAAAATCTGCTTGAGATCAGCGAAAACAGCAGTTTAAAACAGAAATACCATAATGGAATCCAAGAAGAAATCTGGATCCAGATGTATTCAGAGAACAATGCTATTGGCAAAGATGCAGCGCATTCTTAACGTACGCTTAAATACAAAAATGTAATAATAACTTTCTGGGTCAGGTGATGTGGGGGAACAATTAACTAAACTTCTCATAAACATAAAGAAAGGAATAAAAAATTCATCCATTTTCATTCACTGCATCAAAGACAAATGAAGATTACATTTGCACTGTTTTTCATTCTCTCCTAGGTATTAAAACCGCTTTAAGGGTAGGTGTGCAGAGAACACTTTTTTTTTTTGGCATGACAAGGGTGCCGCAGCGAAACAAGTTTGAGAAGCTCTGGCCGAGTGCGAGTACTGCAGTATTTAAAGATCTCGTTTATTGTATAAGCAGCAGTCTGGGCATCATGTGGCCCGTACTACTCTGGTTGCCTTTACTTGCCATATTTTCTAGGATTCATTTAGAGTTAGGCTGACCAAGAAGCCCATATTAATTCCATCTCCACAGATTCACGCCAACAACTCACATGCGTGTAAGCTAGTCACTGTAATACTGCGGTTTCTCGTTTCCGCTTTTTTTTTTTTCCTTTTTTTCTCATAATGGTGTAAGGGCCTATCGATTAAAATCTCAAAAGCAATATCAGATTTCTGATGATCTTAACTGCACATGTCACTCAGAGAGTTTAAAGAGGTGTTCAATTTCATTATCTCCTACACATGGTGGCGAGATTCCACACAGTTACGTAATACCATCGATAATATCATGTTAATTCCTGCTCAACAGAGCCGAGAATGATCAGACACGTAAGAACATTATGATCTTGTTTGTTAAACACTAGAAACCCTAAGCAAGAGGCTGGTTATTTTTTTTTTCTTTTTCGGGGCAAAAGGAAAACGCATTCGTGGAGCCTACACTACACTTGCGTACTCAATATTGGGACTCACTTGTCCTACATTGCCCTAAAAATTTAAAAAAATTTGGCAGCAAACTAAGTGAACTGCACATGTGTATTTTTCAACGCTCTCCGTTTCTAGCCTCTTATCAAGTATTTTTACCAACAGATAAAGAATATCGATAGATAAGATTCCCTTTGTTAATGCAGTGTGCTTTAATATATGCTTTAAGATCTTTGTACAATGAATAACTTCAGTCACATTTTTTTCTGTTGTAAATTTGCTCTTGGCGATAAAACAAATATTAAATATTTAATTATTTACATAAATTTCTATCATTGCAAGCTGAATAAGTCCACATAATAAACTATATTTTTGCCTCAATCTTACACGGTGTAGACAATTTATTTTAAAAAAAAAGTGTTAGGAAAAAGGAAAAAAAAAAAGGGGGGGGGGGGGCGGGGGTCAGGGAGCCGGATGGCGCGATTTTTGAGTCTGATTTAGGAACGGATAGCTAATGCCCGGGAAATGAGTTGTGCAAATTAGGATTTGTGTGTGTGTGTGTTGTGTATGCGTGTGTGTGTGTGTGTGTGTGTGTGTGGGTGGGGGTGGGTAGCACCCAAAAATGGGGTGGGGGAGGTGAGAGATCTCCTTCAAAAAGAATATGTCGACCACACTAGCGAGGGTTCAAATCCGTTTCTCTACGCATGAGAGTCCATCCTTTTAGCCATTCAACCAGTAGCCCCTGGTCCATAAGGAGCTGAAGTCTCATCATAATTTCTGAGTGTGTAGCTACACCGATCGCGCCAGTTCCGTGCTGATTAACTTGTTTTTGTATTTTCTTTACATGATTCCCTTTTTATCTTTTCCCAGTTTGAAGGTAAGAGTAAAGGATCCTTTTTATCGCCAGTGGTTTCCCTCGAAGTCGGAGTACATCTGCCCGTGAGGCAGGGCAACGGCAAAAGCCAGTAAAACGGTTGTACACGCAAAACTCAGGTCCAGGTAAAAGCCAAAAGTTCAAACGGACGATTAACCAGGACCTTTCACCGGAATTCACAGCCGGTGAACGAAGAAGAAGAAGATCGCCAGTGGCGAATCAGATATACGAAGTAAGAATCATATTTTGCTTAGACTAAACGGCATTCATTGGCTGATTTCAAATTTTTGCCGGCCGCCTTTCTTTTTGAGAACATGACATGGCAACAATATTAGCCTGGGTCGAACTGGGAGCAAGCTCAAATTTAGAGAAAAAAGAGTCGATCTTGAAGAGGATTTGAACCCAAGAACACTCTGCGGTGGCTCCTTCATTCCAATTTACTAAAATGTTACAGTTGACTTGGTTATCATCATCTCATCTCATCTTGATCCTTTGGTACCTTGCGGTGTCTAGGTGAAGTACCATTTACGGGAAAGCGCCTGCTTGTGTCTCTCTGCCGTCTAGCTGGGCCAGTCGCAGGTTAGGGACAGAAAAAAAACTGACCTAGGTGATACCATCCACATAGGCGAGCTAGATCCCATTGGCCAATAACCTTGCGGCTGGCCTACACCACTTGAGACATCAAGCCTTTTTTCCCTAACCAATCAATGTAGGAATGAATTGCCGGTGGGTGGGTGCGTGGCAGTGAGTATTGTCATTCTGTGTGAATGTAAAACCTCTATAATATTACTGATAACTCCTTTTCCTAGGAGCCATCTTGTTCTAGTATAATCACATTTTACTTGTAAGGACTGTTAGTTTGCTGACGTAGTTTCTTTCGGATGACTTAATACCGGTAAAATGACATAGCAAACTACATCAGCGCCACACACACACACACATACACACACATCATCATCATCATGTAGCAGGTCCTTTGCAGAACGTCGCTCTCATCACAGTCTGCTTGAAAAGAAACTCGGTCTCTCGCCAGTTCTTCCGACTCATGCACTTTTACACTCAAGGAGTCACTTAATCCCGTGCCCATCTTCGTGTCGGTGGGCCCCTGCCCCTCCTTCCTGGTACCATGCCTTCTGCTATACACACACACACACACACACACACACACATATATATATATATATATATATATATATATATATATATATATATATATATATATATATATATTATTAAAAATTTTAATTTTCCGATGATGTAAGATAAAAACTCGGAAACTACTGAACCGATTGCTTTCAAATTTGCACACAACGTTGCCTTTGACTCCAAGCGTGATGTTTCGACAGACAATCGCACAAACCACGAACGACGTAGCTCCAACAACGGTCAAATCATTATTTTTTTCGTTGCCCGCCCGGATTTGTTTTCAATCGATTCGCCACCTTTGACTATGTGACACCGAACTTAACATTGTTATTATATTCTTCTATTTTTACAATATGCTTCTTCTGCTCTTCTTCTTCTCTTCTTCTTCTTCTTCTTCTTCTTCTTCTTCTTCTTCTTCTTCTTCTTCTTCTTCTTCTTCTTCTGCTTCTTCTTCTGCTTCTTCTTCTTCTTCTTCTTCTTCTTCTTCTTCATCATCATCATCATCATCATCATCATCATCATCATCATCATCATCTTCTTCTTCTTCTTCTTTTTCTTCTTCTTCTTCTTCTTCTTCTTCTTCTTCTTCTTCTTCTTCTTCTTCTTCTTCTTCTTCTTCTTCTTCTTCTTCTTCTTTCTTCTTCTCATCTTCTTTCTTCTTCTTCTTCATCTTCATCTTCTTCATCTTTTTTCTTTTTTTTTTCTTCTTCTTCATCATCATCATCATCATCATCATCATCATCATCTTCTTCTTCTTCTTTTTCTTCTTCTTCCTTTTTCTTCTCTTCTTCTTCTTCTTCTTCTTCTTCTTCTTCTTCTTCTTCTTCTTCTTCTTCTTCTTCTTCTTCTTCTTCTTCTTCTTCTTCTTCTTCTTCTTCTTCTTCTTCTTCTTCTTCTTCTTCTTCCCCCTCCTTCTCCTCTCTGTGCTTTTGTTTTTCTCCTGCTTGTTTTTCTCCAGTCTCCTCTTCCTTCACATTTTGCTCTTTGTCTTCATGTTCTTGCTGCCTTGGGTTGCCCATTGTAGCGAAAGGTCCTCAACCATCAACAAAGCATAAAACAGAGGAACCTCTGTATTTAAAGTTGGATTTAATACCAATTGATTGTCTGGTAAACGCACAGACACAAAAATAAATAGAAGACAAAATTAGAAACAAACATTAGGCTGGCGCGTCTGCGAATGATTTTACAAAGTCAACGTTTATTGAATGACGACGTGGCTGCCGTATGTGCATCTATTAATTGGAGATTTCCTGAATTCGTTTTATTCCTTTGTGTACGGATTTTATTTGCCAGCCAGTTCCAGTGACAAGTGTCATGTAAAAATTATATTTAATCAACTAGTCCAGCCCAGAATGTTTAATTTGTGATTGATTGTTCCTGCTAGCAAACACTCTGATGGATTATTTTGAAACTGTCATTTAATCCAGTAATCCTTTGGTAAACTCTTTCATATTATAGCGCTTTGCGATAAACATGTTTACATTGCAATGTGAAAGGGGAACAAAAACCCGCCCACACCGGGTCAAAACCGAACGTACACAGGGACAAAAACCCACCCACGCCGTGTTACAGGTTACATCTTAACCGTTTTGTGGTGCCCTGTATAACTGCTGTATGGTGTGAAATGGTTGAACATGGTTTCCGGGATTTGCAGCTGTCTGATTCTTATACTTGAGATTTTAACCATACAGCTACACTCATAGAAAAAAGGGGGACGGGGGAGGGGGGGGGGGGAGAATGTGTAAAGATTCCTGCGATTGCATAGTGTTCAACAACACACTTCCATATTCTTCACAACTTACCAGCTTGAGCAGAGAAAATGGCTGCCTCCCCTTCTTACTGGCATCGACTCCTTCAGCGGTGAGGACACCCCCACCAGGAGGTCCGGGTCCCCCGCTGGGTTGTTTACCGCTCGCATAAAAGTCAGCAATGGTATTTCTCTTGATTAGCTTCTTGTGGTGCTCTTGAACTAGGAGGTCGCCTGGATATATATTCATCGCCAAATCCACAGAGCTCCTCCTTCGCCGCAACCTCTCAGCAATATTACTGAAATTATGTATATTTAAAAGAAGGCAATTAGAGAAACATTATAAGTATTACGACTAGAATTTATTTGAATCAATAAGACAAAATCATGATTTTTTCGACACAATTTATTCGCTTTTTCAATACATTTAATCTAGCTGTCAGTATGTTTTTGTACCCGCTTAACACGCAAGCAACTTATGACACGTGTTTAACGTTTTCTTAGTAATTCCATCTATCACGTAATGTGGTCTTTAACTTTGTATATGTTTTTACCACATAAATCTGGTCTTCATTACGATAATTTCTGCAGTTTTTAAAAATTATTTTAAAGATCATACACTCCATATTTCCCATCTTGAATATTTTCAATTAGGAGATTGTTTGGATACCTATTTAGTGAGTGAGTGAGTGAGTGAGTGAGTGAGTGAGTGAGTGAGTGAGTGAGTGAGTTAGTTAGTTAGTTAGTTAGTTAGTTAGTTAGCTAGTTAGGCGCAGTTTCAACTGCAATGCAAACATGTCATCGTCTAAGTTTCTTTCTCGCGCCACGAAAACCACACACAAAGACTATTGATGTCTGTTGTGGGTAAAACAAATGAAACATTAAGCAGTCTAGATAAATCGACTTTTTAACAAATTAAATATCTAGAAACCATGAGTTGTTAACCATTTGGCTCGGTACTATGGATATCGCAACGCTTCGGCCTTGATTCCATGAAAGATACCGTAAATATGGAAGAAATGTGGCTTTTCTGACTAGGCCCGCGCATGAACCCGGACCACAAGGAGTTCGTCACCCAGTTGCTGCGCAGTCCGGTTTAGCCAACTGCGCTAGCAAGCGGGGCTGATAAACCCTCTTAATGCCACGTGTTAAATACTTAAAGAACTCGTCAAAAGTACTAGAAACAGCCTGCTACTCTACAGAATCACAACTCCTCACTGAGAGAAGTAGCAGTCTAAACAAATCAGCAGTTGTACACAGTACCAACAGTTCTGTGGCAACAGACCACCCGCTGTTTTCAGAATCTGCAGTTCCCCACGTAGACCACCCTGGGACCAGTAGAACAACATTTCAAATGACAATGTTGTATAATCACAATCGACTTCCTTGCACACTGGACATTTCCACCACCAAAGTACTTCTACTAATACCTTGCTTAAGAAGATTGATATTCAGTCTTCGATCCTCACCTCGAAGACGGCATAGACGGGCTTCACCAGGTTTTACTCCCAGATCATATAGTCGGGTTAATGTTTGAGACTTGTTATAGTTCACCATCAGTCTAGTCCGAATCAGGATTGACGATATCAGCTCTGTTCATAATTCTGCCTACATAGTAAAGTGAAGGACCCTTTTCCACGCCTTCAGGCGAATTGGGCATATAGGGCCGAACCTATATATTTTATAGACCACTTAGCACAAGATCGGTGATGTGGTCAGCATCACGCCGACCGCCTTTGCTTCCCGGGACTGCACCCGGTACCCACTCAAAACTGGGTCAAGCTGGGATCAAGGTCATTTCTGAAAAATGTCCCGCTCCGCCAGAGAGCGAACCCACAACCTTCTGATTCACACGCGAGCGTCGCCGTTATCACGGCGACTCCTTTCTGTCTATATGCAATGGTACAATACATGCTAGCTGGTCCGTTCGTTTCATTATCCTTTTTGAGGCATGTAAATCCAAGAGGTTTCAAATGAAATCAGTAGCTCACAGTTTCACACCGTGTACTCAAATGAGTAGCTTAGCGACGAAAGAAGTGGGTTATGGATGCAACAGCTTTTTTTAAATTAAGAAGCAAATAATTCGCCTAGACTAAAACGGTCAGACTTGCTAAACACTATTATTAGTGAAGCCAGCATACTTTTTAATACAAATATAATGCGGAGAATTGTTGTCCCTAGTCTTGTGTGTGTGTGTGTGTGTGTGTGTGTGTGTGTGTGTGGTGTGTGTGTGTGTGTGTGTGTGTGAGAAGAAGAAGAAGAGAAGAAGAAGAAGAAGAAGAAGAAGAAAAGAAGAAGACGAAGAAGAAGAAGAAGAAGAAAAAGAAGAAGAAGAAAAAGAAAAAGAAGAAGAAGAAGAAGAAAAAGAAGAAGAAGAAGAAGAGAAGAAGAAGAAGAGAAGAAGAAGAAGAAGAAGAAGAAGAAAAAGAAGAAGAAGAAGAAGAAGAAGAAGAAGAAGAAGAAGAAGAAGAAGAAGAGAGAGGAAAAGAAGAAGAAGATAAAGAAAGAAGAAAAAGAAGAAGAAGAAGAAGAAGAAGAAAAGATGTAGAAGAAAATGAAGAAAGAAAATGAAGAAGAAGAAGAAGAAGAAAAAAGAAGAAGAAGAAGAAGAAGAAGAAGAAGAAGAAGAAGAGAAGAAGAAGAAGAAGAAGAAGAAGAAGAAAGAAGAAGAAGAAGAAGAAGAAGAAAGAAGAAGAAGAAGAAGAAGAAGAAGAAGAAGAAGAAGAAGAAAGAAGAAAGAAGAAAAAGAAGAAGAAGAAGAAGAAGAAGAAAGAGAAGAAGAAAAGAACAAGAACAACAAGAACAAGAAGACAAGAACCAGAACAAGAACCAGAACAAGAACCAGAACAAGAAGAAGAAGAAGAAGAAGAAGAAGAAGAAGAAGAAGAAGAAGAAGAAGAAGAAGAAGAAGAAGAAGAAGAAGAAGAAAAGAAAAAGAAGAAGCAGAAAGAAGAAAAAGAAGAAGAAGAAGAAGAATAAGAAGAAGAAGAAGAAAAAAAAAGAAGCAAAAGAGGAAGAAGAAGAAGAAGAAGAGAAGAAGAAGAAGAAGAAGAGAAGAAGAAGAAGAAGAAGAAGAAGAAGAAGAAGAAGAAGAAAGAAGAAGAAGAAGAAGAACGAAGAAGAAGAAGAAGAAGAAGAAGAAGAAGAAGAAGAAGAAGAAGAAGAAGAAGAAGAGAAGAAGAAGAAGAAGAAGAAGAAGAAGAAGAAGATGAGGAAAAAAAGAAGTAGAAGAAGAAGATGAAGAAGAAGAAGAAGAAGAAGAAGAAGAAGAAGAAGAAGAAGAAGAAGAAGAAGAAGAAGAAGAAGAAGAAGAAGAAGAAATGACTCGTCGAGAAATATGTACAACACATATGCTAGCAAATATATATGAGCCACAAAGGGAGTTTCTGATACAAAGCACCTCGGCGACAAACATGCAAAGCGTATGTGACAGAAGTAGCTCTGTAACTAAAATATGAGTCATATGCGATAGAAAGCATTTAACTGAGAAAAAAAAAGCTAGTATCTCTTAAACATAAAAATGTTGTATCCAAGTGACAAATAGGTAAAGCGTTTTTGCTAGATAATATTTCAGCGACAAGCAGGTAACGCGTATTGATAGATGTGATCTCACCGACAAAATTTAAGTTCAAATGCCTAAAAGTATCTCAGCGACAAACAGGATCAGCGTATATAGTAGATATCAATTTAGCGACAAACAGGTTAAACAGGTAAGTTAACTGTAGACATTGTTCGCTCTGTGTTGTCTAGGATGCAGGTTGTTGTGTTTGGACAATGATGCGTGCGTGTTTTGTGGAGTATTGTAGTGCTATTTTGTCCGCATTTACTGGCCTTTTCAATCATCAAATGTAATGAGGTAACTTACCTTGCGCCTTCACCTTCATCACACGAGTTGCTAGGTGAGACGTCTGGTGATAATGTTGTCGGGGACACGTCACCACAATTCTAGGGTGGAGAAAAAGGTACAAAACTGACTACTGTATTCAAAGCATGTTTGCATTTATCACGGGGACAACAGAACATCGATACGCAACACAAGCTAAACTAACAACTGAACTATGGAAACGTTTAGAGTGAGTCGCGGTAGCGTTCTGGCTAAATACTCGCATGCTGGACTGAAGGTCTAGAGTTCAAATCCGGGTCAAATACGCACCACAGTGGTGTTTATTCCTTCTCGAAAACTTATCTTGACTCCCAACCTAAAACAGGCACGAGATAATGTTGTCGCAAGTAAAGGCGTCCTGTGCAATGTTAGCTACATCACCCATCGCAGAACACTGTGTTTTAATATGTTAGTAGTAACTTATTGGGCTATCTTTTGAATAACGGTCCTAAATTATCGAGGCGGAAAATATACACTAACAGGGCCTCAGTCACGTGTCAATTACACACTTCCGTCGTCTTAAATTGCCCACTTTCGGCTACTTCCGCCACCGCCGAGGGTATCCCCCGTGGCGTGGATTGGGGCTAAACTAGATGGCTGAGTCTCACGAGCAGCAGCTACCGCATCTCCTGCAGCTTCCTTCATTTTATTTGCTCTTGAGTCCTAGCCATCTAGTTTAGCCCCAATCCACGCCTCTCACGTAGGGAATACTTTCGGCGGTGGCGGAAGTCGCCGGAAGTTCGCAATTCGGCGATGGGGTTATAGTCCGCAGAAGTGCGCAAATGACACGTGACTGAGGTCCTGTTAAGGTATATTTTCCGCCTCGATAACTTAGGACCGTTATTCGGAGGATAGCCCCTTGTTGCCAACATATGCAAGATCTGCTTAAGAAGTGTAGTATCGAATAGGCAGAAACATCATTTCACGTGATGAATATTATCCTACGCCAATGGTTTACAAGTTACAGTCCATGGAAGCCGGTGGCTCGTGAAAGAAATTGTAAGAGTTACGTGATGTCAGAAAAATAACGCTCAATCCTCTTTTCAGCGATATTTCTTTAGCTACTCCTGTTAAAAGTGGCGCTGAAAAAGGGAGTTGGGAGAGGGCGTGGGGTTGGGATGGGAAGGGGGCGTTGCAGGCCATCGAAAATAGAAGAGAATCCGCCGGCCTTCTCTCACAGAGATTATACAGATTTATGACTTTCAACTGCAGCTAGAATAATACTTTAGTCAGTTTTCTAATTCATGCAATAGTATTTTCGATAATTTTTCCGTAATGACTTATCCTAGAAACATGACTTTTTTTTTTTTTTTTTCATTGGCTTATATTTTCATATCAACTTTAATGTTTTATGCATAAAAAATATATTTATAGCCAAGTTTGATTGAAACAGTCGATTTTTATTTTTTATTTTTATCAACTGTATAATTTTAGCTAGATAAAACAAATTTTACAGTAACTACGTGAAACGAAGTCCTAAAGCATAATAGAAGTTAGAGGCGTTACTATAATTAAGTCCCTGCACTTTTTACAATTTTCCATAACGTACTTTTGTTCTGTGTAAGTTTTAATATTTTCAGCGTCCAGAATTATTTATCATCCAACGTGGCTGACTTCTTTGTCAAAGCACCAACTTTGATTTTTCCTTCATCGTTGAACACTAATATGTATAGAAAAACTGTCTCTTCTCCAGCAAATCTTGAGAATGTACAGTCGGTAATCATAGAGCATGCTTTGTTCTTTTCTCTGAGTTTGAAATAGAAGGATACAGACAACTTCGTTTAGCCTCAGAAGAGTAATATTGATATAACTGAATTTTTTTTTTTTTTTTTTTTTTTTTTTTTTTTTAGTATAACGAATTTAACTTTCAGCGCTATTTACACAAATTAACAATATAAGTTACACCTATGCAAACTTCTGACGAAACTTGGGGATCCACTGATTTTATAAAGTGTTTCGACACTTTCAGCGTATCCGTCGCGGTCTTATGCAGAATTTACACAAGATACGAGATTCATGAGTTTTTTGTGTGAATGGTCGATTGGTTATGTTTCAACTTTGTGCTGTATAGCTCTTAAAAGGCAGTCTAGCAAGGATCGTCTTATATTTATATACCTCAAATAGGCAAACATGCATTCTAATTACTTGTTATAAGGGAAAACAACTCTGACAAAATGTTCAGAATAAAGTAATATTAACATGTAATTTCTTCAATTTATATTACCCTAAAGCTGAGATATAATTGTTTGAACATCGGCATCATTTTCTAAACGCATTTAGTTGTACATTTACAAGGACCCATGTTTCAAATGTGGCGCGATGTTTAAAACATAACCATCGAGGGCCGACCGATTGGTCTATAAACGCATCAGTCTGTCCACATATGCCCAATGCGCCAGTAGTGTGTAAAGCGACCTTCACATTTTTTAAACTGCTTATTTACAATATTTCACTTGAGAGTACGTAGGACAGACCTTTAATGTCGGCACAAATGATATCGATAATAAGCATATTTTCCCTCCAATAAACTTCCAGTTCCATTAGCTTTTCATGCTGCTGACGCATGAGGTATGTAGCCTGGAATCATTTCTATAGACCAGTCAGCATTCTTTGGGCAATGTGCGTAACATCAAACTGATCGCATTTACTTCTAGTGGAGTAATCTGCATTAATTGTATTCTATGTCGACACAGTAGCCTAGGTCAATTACGAGGGGAAGTCAATAAGTAAGTCATAAATAGCTTTGAAAAAAAGTAAGATAATAACAACTTGAAAACCATTTTTTTACAGGTACACTGTCCCTCTAATTTTCAATATAATTTCTACACATTAGTGCACTTATCCCATCGTATTTTAATTCCTCCTAAACCTGCTGACTAGAACTGCATGCTCTGTTTTTTAAACAACATTTTCACTTCATATTCAACTTCTGCGTCATTCGCGAAATGTATCCCGCCAAGGGTGGTTTTCAGTGGACCAAAAATGTGGAAAGTCGCTAGGGGCTAAGTCAGGGGCTGCAAGGTGGATGTTCCAGAAGCTCCCACCATAAATGCATAAATGGTTAATTTTTCAGAGCCGTATATGTATGGCATTTTCAGCAGATCTTGACATTTGTTTCAATCTGCATCATGAAGAATCAATAGAACTTTAGGGTATGAATCCGCTTTAACATTGTAACCTTTTTATAAAAATTATTTGAAGCACTCCTTGACAATCCCAGACCACTGTCAGCATAACCTTCTCTGCTGATGGCGTAACCTTATTTTTAACAAAAGATGAAGAAGGATGTTTCCATTGCACTGAAGCACGCTGTTGTTTGGGATGGTAGTGATGCACCCATGATTCGTCCCCAATAATAATCCTGTTCAGCATGTCTTTTCCCTTATCTGCGTATCGACAGAAATGCTACAAGGACTGGTCTAATTGCTACTTTTTGTGTTCGTCCGTCAATAGTCTGGGTATCGACCTCGAGCACCCTTTCTTAAATTTTCATTGAATAATTTTTAGGTAGTATGCTGAACCATGTAAGCAGACGATTGCAGCTGCTTCAAAGTCAACCGTCACTCGCCTGCTACCTCTAATCATCCCCTCCACTGGCTGCACCGACGCGTCTGTTGCATTCTCAACAGAGACCAGATCTGCATCAACAGTTTTAGAGTCTTTGACTTTTTTTTTTTAAAACCAGTAATGTACCGCTTTGCGGGATACAGATTCGTCAGTATAAACAGGAAGCATTTCCTTATGAAAATCCTTTGCAGGCAGCTCTTTTGCCATCCCACCTAACGAACGGAGACATCAAGTTCGATGTTGCTGTCACCTAATGATACCTTTAGAAACCACCAACAGCATTTTCCTGCCATCTCATAACCCTTTGTGAATTACTTATTAACTTCCCCTCGTATAAAGAATCCAGAAAGATTTGAACCCAAGACTTTCGGCTGGCAGACGAGTGTCTGTCTAACTACTGTGTCAACAGTTAGCTTAGTAAATATTCACCGCAAAAACTGGAAGACAAGCTGTAATCTGCAAGAAAGCATTATGTCAGTTTGTCGAACAAGAAATCAATTTCACCCGCGCCATCCATAAAGGCAAATGAGTGAGCAAAAGAAAATGAAATGACATCAATTTATAGAAGCCAATATTATTTAAATGTTGCTAGAAAACTGGCTCTGTTGACAAGAGATTCACTCGTCAACATACATTTTTTAAAAACATGATTATAGATTGTATGCAACATCTAACATGTAATTAACCCAAAGGTAACACATACACACATAACAAATTTATATTAAAAACAAATTTATGTTTAAAGAAAAAACGACTCTCAAATTAGAGTTGATACAAGCTAGAGAAAAATTAATAAAAAGTGTTAAATGGCATTCAAAGCGTCTCTACAGTTGTGATTTTTTTTTTACGGAGGCGCGGGTTTCAGTTTGATCCCTTTTATGATTTTTTGAAGGAGCATATGTGTGCGTGTGTGTGGTGTGTATGTGTGCGCGCGCGCGTGTGTGTGTGTGTGTGTGTTCGCGAGTGTAGTGTATGTGTGGTGGGTACAGTGTTAGTGTTGCGGGTGCAGTTTATGTGTGGTGTGTGTGTGTTGAGAGTGTAGGTGTTATTTGCCATCCCATACGATCACCAGAATCACAGCACGTCAATTCTTTTGTCTCGCCGTCTTTGCTCTTTTTCTCTACCCTTCTCCTTCATACCAGTTGTAACCAAGGTTTCGAATATATTTCTTCTCATCCAATGTCCACAAATGTTGACTGTCTGCGTGTAATTTATATAATATGTTTACGGGTTACTTCTGTTTCACTGCCTCACTGGTTTTTCTATCATTCTATGATATTCTTTGCATGCTTTTTTTTTTCAATATTTCCATCACCTGTAGATATTTTCAGCTTTTCTCCTTATTGCTAATGTCGCATATAACAGGTTCTTTGTAGCATTGTAACTGTCTTTATTTCTCACTGTAATGGACATCTTTTTTTTATTCGCAAGTTTCTTTTGCAACTTGCTAGAGGCTACTTTTGCCATTGAGATTCTTCTTTGAATTTCTATTATG